CGACTACACCTTTCTTTGTCCAAGTTTATTATCCCCAATCGACGATGTATATAAGCGTGGATAAAGTATGACATGCTCTCGTACCAGTGCTACACTCTTGATTTATTGCTTCTGTCGTACATGTCAGATACAGCATGAAGGTAACAAAGTAACTGTCCAGCATGGGTTCTTATTTTCTTCTTCTTTAGATTAATGCCAAACCTTCTCCATAGAAGATTACTTGACATACATGGGTGGACTATATACAAGAAAACAATATTAATAAACTAATATTGAGATAAGTGTGCAGATATATGTACAGATTGTGATTAAAACTATTTACATATTTACCGCCTGGAGATCAGTAGGGATGATCAGCTGTACTCTAAAGGAGTCTACTGTTTGAAAGTAAACTACTGCTGCAGGTAGTAGGTTTCGGATTATGTACACTTCTTCTGCACTTGTTGTGGGGTGCCGTACACGTGTCCTTTGACCTTGACCGCTTGACCCGACTACTTGTGGAAAAAGGTGTACATTAACATCCCATAAACATTGTATGCCATACTGGACAGTTTCTGTTAGCTTTGTTCTCTATCTAATATGGAAGTTACTGTATAGAACATATATATTTAAAACTTCATTTCAGTTATGATGGAACTGGATTGTTCTGACCATTCTGAGGATGACAGTTCAGTACCGAATATTGATGACCTGAAAAAATGGAAAAGAAGTGGCTCAAAAGATGTGCTTGTAAAGCGTGTTTTTCGCGCATACCCGAATCTATTGGATTCAGACTCAAGTGTCATCGATAGCGACTTAGAAATGAGCCAGAGAATGCATACAGATTTCTCTAAACTGGACAGTTCGTGGACAACCGTCTCAAATGATAATTTACCAGATATCAGTGACAAAGACATTGAAAATTATTTCTTATATCAAACCAATCCTACATCTGGAAAACGTGCACGATTTCAACGACATCTTAAGAAAGCTAGGAAGTTTTGTGCATAAAACTTTTTTGCGTGACATTGCGTATCATAATGTGTCTGTAGAATCGGAAGTCTGCTTCGTAAAAGCGAAGTGTAAGTCATCTATGAGAAATATTGTGCATGTGGGTAATACTGGTCAGACAGCAAATCTGTACAGTCTAAATGTATGTATCACCAAGTCAACAGGACATATAATGACTGCATATTGTGACTGTAAAGCCGGAGAGGCAGGGCTTTGTGCACACGTTGGAGGTTTGTTGTTCACACTTGTGAAAATGAAAAATGCATGCACATCTCAGGAGTGCAGATGGATAGACCTAGACCCATTCAAAGAAAACCAAGCCCAAAACGTGTTCATGAAGTTAGATTCTCAACAAACGTAGACACGGAAAAGTTGCGTCCTTACCCTGACACATTCCAAGCATCAGGCTGCAATGACCCGGACATTTTTTTGAATGATTTACTTGAAGGTCTTGAAGTTGTAAACCCAGGATGTGTACCGTATAAAACACTTAAATCTCAACCAACAGACATTTCTTCATTTTTGAAGATTTTTTAACCAACTTTTTCGTATGCAGATTTTGTGGATCTTGACTCTGATGAATGTAAGACAGCATTTTTAGATTTTTTTAACAAACTGAATGTAAATACAGATATTGTAGATAATTTAGAAGTTGGAACCAGAGGACAGAGTTTAAATAAAAACTGGGCAGATGCAAGAACTGTGCTGATCACAGCTTCCAACATGGGAGAAAGAAAACACAACCTGACAATCTTGTTAAAACTTTGAGAGGGTATAATCCTCCACCAAACACTGTGAAGAGCCTTCAGCATTGAAGAAAATATGAACGGCAGGCCCTGAAGGACTACAGGAAAAAACATTCAAAGTTTTGTGGTGGAAACGTTGAATTAGATGACAGGGGATTAGTTGTAAATCCTAAATTTCCATATCTTGGGGCAAGTGTGGATAGCTTGGTTACTTGTAGCAAATGTGGTACTGGAATTGTGGAGGTGAAATGTCCATATGGATCTGACAGTGGTGGTGCTACAAAGCTGTGGAGAAGAATGTCACCATTGGACTGTGCTTAAGATCCAGCATTTTTTTGTGATCTTGAAGACAATGATTTGAAATTAAAACCAACACATAACTACATGTATCAAATACAAGGCCAAATGGCCATTTGTGAACAGAGGTGGACAGACTTTGTTGTCTGGACTAAAAAAGATGTACATTTTCAGAGAATTGAATCTAAAGACAACTTTTGGAAAGAAAACATGCTTCCATTTTTGAGACAATTTTATTTACGCGGCATGTTGCCAGAAATATTTTCTGAAAGGGTCAAAAGAGGTATTCCACTCTATCATGTCTCTTGAAATTAATATACAAGTGCCAGTATTTTAAAAATCAGGTGGTTTACTACGTCCAATTAACCCTGCTAATCAAATACATGTACATTGTATGCAGGTTTGACATTTGATAAGTACAGTGTATCTATACCTATCTAACAGAACATAAAAGATATTTCTTTTCTCTGGTAATTTGCAATCATTTTTATAAAGAATAATAACTGTATAATATTCATCAAGTTATCTGACCTGTGTAGCTTTGATTAGGCCATTAACATTTTGATACAACTTATTTGTACTATCCCTAAAAATGAAATCCAATGTTATTAAATTAGTTTTACTTTGTGAGAATTATCCTTGGAGGAAGATGGTTTCAAATTGTAAAATTGAGATTCCTACCATTTGGGCCCCAAAGGGAAAATTAACCAATATTTCAAAAATCTTCTCCAGACTCAGAGGTACTACAGTCATTTTCTCTGCATGGAAGGAAAGATCATCAGGGGCTTTATTTAAATTGTAAATTTCAGCACCCCAGGGCTATCTATTCTCCCTTGGGGAGGGGGTTAAGTCTACTATAGTTTATATGGGGAAATATTTTATCCATTTTGAGCAGAAATTACTCAAACTTAGTCACAATCATTTTTGGTGAATGAGGGTATTACATTGTAAAATTGGGATTCCTTCCCCAGGGGCTAGGGCGGGGCTCCAAAGGGAACATTTACCAATATTTTCAAATTCTTATCCCTTGATGACATGACTAGTATTGTATTTCACTTAGTTTACATGCTGATTTCCACATCACATCTAAACAATAAAATAAAGCTACCAGTACCTATGATATAACTAAGGTGACCGCTAAGGCCCTTGGGCCTCTTGTTCATTTGAGTTGGTTAGTAAGAAAATTATTTTTAACTCTTGTTTCAAAAAAAAAAACCAAATGATTATAAATTTCATTAAAAAATTATATATCTTTTGCCAATAAAATTTATCAAAGCAATATTTTTGTTTCAGTTTTCCTTGGCTTTTTTCTCTATTTCATGCATATACTGTAATGTATCATTGATACATTGCTCATCACTAAGTAATAAACAACTACATTTATTATTTTTTCATAAAAAGACTGCATCCTCGGTCAATATATCTCTCCTCGGGTCGATAAATCCAGGTATTGACCTCAGCCAAAGGCTATAATTGAATAGTATCCATCCATCTAAAATACATGTAGCAAATAAATAAGTACCAAGTAAGATTCAACATTTATTTCATTAATGGGGGCAAAAGATTTGTCCACGCGATGCATAAAATGCCATCTGCTCAATTAGATGAGCCTCTGATAGAGGTAAGGAGCCACTTAGTATCCGATAGTTTTTAAACTGTTCCATTTTCATTTCAACTACGATACGAGCAGAGGCAATACCTTGAGTCTGAAAAAACTCATTTGTGGTCATCTGTCGATAACCTGGAATCCTTGGTGGCATATTAAGCTTTACATTTACTGGAAGTAAATCTTCAACTGTAAATCCTTTATCTGCCATTACCATGTCACCTGGACTTAACTTAGGAAGAAGGTCATCATTTTCGAAAATGTATCGGTCAGACGCATTACCACACCAAAGACGAGAGATAAAATTTACAAGTCCATTAGGCGCAACACCAATCAATAGTTTAAATGTATTAGAATGTTTGTATTCTGACCAGGTGAGCCATTGCGCTGTGAGAGAAGAAGGTTTTTCTGTAAATAGTTCTGTACAGTCAATCACTACTCTACAGTCTTTGTAATCCTGAAAACTTTTTGGGAGATTGCACAAAATCTGCTCTCTAGATGGCCAAGGGACCAAGTGTTTTGCATG